GCAACGTTCCCGTATCTTGGACACGCCGATGACCATACACCATAGTCGGATGGTGGAAGGATGTTTCTCGTTATCGACCACGCTCGTTTTCCTCCGACTCGATCCGTTCTCAAGCGGATAAAATCGTTCCAACTCGAAACGAACGTACCGGTGACCGAACTGGTAACGCTTTTCTTAACACACCTCCACCTGTTGTGCGTCGATGGTGCGCGAAATCGTGGATACCACGCGAACGAAAACAAGGATATGGTTCCTACACACAGGTATAGGAACAAGCGCATAATACGTTTAACGCGGATGGCGATGGCAGAGTGGATGGCGTGGATTATAATGAAAGAAACAGCGGGATGAGGGGAGGAGACGCGTTTAAATGAGCCGTAGCCATTGCTCGAACGAGCTTCGAGATTCGATCTGCGCGGCCGTGTGTACACGCGCGGATACGTGGGACGCGTACTCGTATAAATAGCCGGCCGGTGAGGCCGATACGGCGTTAATGACCGGTTCGTTTTCTGTTCCAGGCACCCGTCAACGACTCTGCTCGGGACCTAGCAGCGGAGGGACGCAGCGTGGAAAAATTGCGTGAGTACACCCCGTACGAAGCAGGCCGCGCTACCGGTTCGATATTTAATCGATATCTCCGCTATCGTTAGATCGTATCGGCCGGGGATTCTTCCATCCGTTTTTCGCCGTGTCACCGCATCGTGTGGCCCCTGTTAAAGACTGTTGGAACCTGGCAGCATCGTTGAAACGCAGGACCACCTCGCCGATTCGATCGTAATCGGACAAAGAGAATTCTTTCCCACGAGCAGCTGGTGCTACGATTGCCCGAGGTTGTTGCGGAAACACGACGTAAATGAAGTTATTACGCGTCCACGAGTTGGTAATACTTGGAACGCCTCGGAGCGCGTATCTATATATGTGTGTGTGTGTGTGGAATTAAGGCGATTATAGATTTGCTTGTACAGTCGGTTTATCCAATGGAAGGAGTAGTCTTGGTTGATTCGTGATAAAGTTAATATTTTCCAAGGGAAAAAATATATATATATCTCGATTTTTCGACGTTTATGTTTTCATCGGTGGAGCGAGCGAATCGTTTAAGTCTCGTAAGTGGCGAAATAAAAAGCAAATGAATACTTAACGAAATAGCCATAACATAGCTTAAAGTATTCGGTATTTATCGAGATAGTAACTATAAGCAGCGAGGTATATATATATATATATATATATAGGTGGTGGAATGAGTGCGTGAGGTTTAATTCCCCGGGCAGATGTTCGGTTCCAACAACGGTGACGCAACACGCGTGAAATACACGGAAAAATCGTTAAAGACGACCCTTGGCTTCCTGTTCCACGTGTCATGTATATACGCGTTCCGTATACTTGCAAACTTTTCACCCTTACGTGTTCGTTTCTTCCTCGCGTTCAAACAATCGTTCGAAACTTGATTGAAACTCGCATGATTTCACGCGTGATTTTCCGTAACATCGACCATTTTATAAAATGGCGTGGCGCGCGCGGAACGAAATTCGAACGATACTTTTTCTATTTTTCTCCTGTTTTCGTATTTTTATCGCGCACGAACCGAACTAATTTCACGGAAACGAGCGAGAAGAAGTTTTGACGCGAATGTTGGCTTGTCGTTGTCCGAGTTTCTCGCTTCTTAAATCCCCGAACGAAGCGTGAAATAGTCGATACCTGGTGGCGGTCCACGGAGGTTAACAAAGAATGCGAACTCGCCCAGACAACGACCGTCTAACTCGCCTTTCCTCTCCAATATCCCCGAGATCTCGTTCCGCCCAGCTGCTCTAACGCCGTGGAAGGACACGAAGTGACGATTGTCGTAGGTTTGTGAAGTGTGAAACGTCGCCTGGAAACTTTGGTCGCGAACCAAACGAGGGAGTTCGCGTGGGATACGTTGATGCTTCGTAAGGGTAAGCAACGGTATTCGAACTCGGCCAAGCGAGTCTCGTTTCACATACGAACACGGTTCAAGTTTTCGGTCGTGGGGTGGAAAGTTGGCGGCCGGCTACTCGCCACTGATAGCGTTGATCAGCGTTTCCATGGGATAGGCGTTCTCTATCCCCTGTCTTGGGCAAGCGGAGCTCGATTGCGCAAACAGAGAGGGAGAGAGCGGAAAATTTCTAATACGGTGCGATTTTATGGTAACGAGAAACCTTAGATTTGTCCTTAGATCAACCGTGAAACGTGGCAACGAGTTATGCACTATTGGTATTCCTGGGTGAGCAAGATCGGTAATCGTTCGTGTGGATCATTTACGCAACACATCGAACACGACGGCATTCGAATTACACAATTGTCCGCAAAGATATTCTGCAAAGAATTGGCTTTCTAACGCCCATGTACCAACGCAACGTATCGATGTTTTAATATCTAATGACAAGTTTCTAAGATACGTTAATAGATCGTTGTCTATTGAACGCTTGGACAACTACGATACTACGAGCATTATTATTTTCTACTTTTTCTATCGTCTAGTCGAATCATTATCTTCGATTATTCGATATAGAGACGATTCTATCTCTAGGATTCTATAACCTCATCTTCAATAACCTATTTTCGTATAATCATAAGTTGTAGATTTGAAATTAAATCATCGAGGAGTAAATGTCACGATTCACCCCGAAAATATGATGCTCGAAAATTCTGCGTCATTCTTCTCGTTTGCACCGTTTCTGGATTAAAGCGTCATCATTGGCCCGTGTCACGCTTGGTTGCAATTGTGATCCCGTAAACGACCCTTCGGAGAATACATTCCCTTTCGATATTTATAGACTTTCGGGATTAACGGGGGGCAAAGGTGAAAAGGGAGACGTCTCTTTCTCTCTCTCTCTCTCTCTCTCTCTGCCTCTTTTGTGAAATACTCTCGCACTCTCTCCACGGCTCTCCGCATCTCGATACGATATACGCGAAGGGACGCGAGATTGTGGGAAGAAAATGGGGGAGGGGGTCATAGATCTCGAAGCGAGATCGCGATCTCGGTTGTTTATGCGATACCCCCGAGATAGGGTTGCTCTTTTGTCCAAGGGCGGTTTTCAACCGTTGCCAAGAAATACGGGAATGAATAAATTTCGGGGACGCGGCGTATTTCACGGGGCCAGGCGTGTGTACACACGCTGAGGTGAAGTTTTGCGAAACACTTTACAAGCGTTGCTCTTCCCTCGGACGCTTTGGGAGACTTAACCGGGATCACCGGGCTTTGATAAGTGACGAAAAAGAGCCCGGGGGAGGATTTGTGGTAATCGTGGGACGTTATTGTTTAGCGCGTTGTATTTTCTCGTGGAAAAGTCGACGAGACACGAATCACGAAATGGAGTAACGCGAAACGTTTGCCTCGAATATATATGTATATATAATATTTTTTTTTCCTTTTCTTTTATTTTTCCATCGATATTAAACGACTCGCGAATCGTTATACCGTCTCGATATCGGAGCGTTAAGGAGTCCTCGAATTATTTCCCCGTTTCATCCGTCACTTGCATCGCGATAAACAATCCCTGGCAACTTAAAATGGGAATTGGATTAAAACGGGTATGGAGCATTCACCCGGGGCGGACTAACAAACAACAGACAGATAAATCTCTCGACGCCGCTTCTCGTCGATGATCCTCCATAACGAATTAAATTTATCCGGAGAGATCTGCTTGCCGATCACCTGGAGAACAGTCTGGATCGACCGACACTCGAAACGGTGCTCGACGAGTCCCGACACACACAAGGATCGATCGATCCGTCGGCCCTAATAATTCAAAAATCGTCGATCCCTTCCAACCGATCGAGGCCGCGTCCTCCGATATTTCTCTTCGCCTAGACGCGGCCGATACGTCCGCAACATGCTATCCTCGTTTACGGACCGATTAGAAACACCCTCACGGATCTCACCACCTAACGGTTCACCTTTCTCAACAACGCGCACAAACAACCACGCTACACCGACGGCGGGCCACGCACGCACGTTAGTGCACACACGGAGCGAAGTAGCGAGAGGCAGAACGAGAAGATACCAAGAGAGCGCATCTTCTCCGAGTCGCCGAGTGCCTCCACCTTGAGAGTTCAGACAGGAGAGAGCGAGACTCTTCGAAAACCGACGGAACGTGGTGGAGGGAAAACCGAGAGAGAAAGAAAGAGAGAGAGAGAGAGCGAGGGAAGGATAGATGGGCGAGAAGAGAAGGTGGAGAAAGAAAGAGAGAGAGAGAGAGAGAAAGAGAGAGAGAAAGTGAGAACGGGTGAAGCTGGCAGAAGGGAGGAGAAACACTCGGTTCGGTCGGGTTCACGAGCGAGAAGGAAGGAAGCGGAGGGGCGAGCGGTGGCTAGAACCGAGCTGGTTGCCGTGGATGGCGAAGCGAGGTGATGGGGTGGATGACTAGGCGCGAGAGGGGAATCGCTCGGTTAGCGGGGAGAGTGGGGATGCGCGGCGAGCGGCGTGGTGGGGGGCGACGCTCTCTCGGATCCCGAGCTCGGTTAGTTTCTCCGTCGACGCCGCTGGGAGCGGATCGAGCGTGTCGTTGTTCTTCCTCGTGGACGATCACCTCGCGGCGAGACGTTCGAGCCAGTTCGCTCCTCCTTTCTATTCCTCGGGTGCTCGGTCACCGTTTTTTCCAACGGTCAGGTTCGTTCGCGAGTCGGAACGCTGATCGAATCATCATCGGAATCGTAATGGAGACTCGTGGGAAACGTGATACGCGGTTTGGATAGTACACGATACGCGGTGATCAAGGAGTGGTGAAGAGGAAGGTAGATCGAGATTTTTTTCGAGTGGACCGAATCGATCTACACGTACGACCGGGTGAAACGATACGAAGATAGTGTGCGCGGAAGAAAGTTGTTTCGTGTAAAAATTATTTATACGTTTTTTTATTTCGTGTGTACTGGGTGGAGATAAAGTTGGTGTTGACCACAACCTTGTTCAATTACGGTGCGTTTTTTTTATTCGTTGAGCGCTAGTGGGAACTAGCGACCGATTGACCAGTGAGGATTATAATTCGTCGGAGAGATTGGAAGGACGCGAGAATTCTATTCGATTGTGTGCGACCTAGGAACAGAAAGGGAGAACATTTTCAAGGACCCTCGGTTTCTTCGTCCCTCGAGGTTGGCGAGGGAATCGAACGCCTGCCGTCGGACGCTGCCTGGCCGTGCTTCGATCTTGGACCACCGATCTTGCGGAAGTACGGCTCGATTTGCCGCGACCAAGGATCCGTTCTACCGTGCCTCGTCCATTTTTTCGTCCTAACTTGGATAGCCACGAAACCGGAGTGCTTCTCATGTGTCAGTGACAGTTCTGTGTGTTCCGGTTTAAATTTCTCGTGCGATGTACCCAGACCACGTCGTCCTCGTCTTCCATCTTGTAAGTACACGAGCTACGTTACATCGATGTGATCCGTGCGTTGCCCGTTCTGGAAAATCTGACGAGATTCCCGCGCTTTTCCGTTAACGGCGAATAACGGCGAATGGAAGAATAGTAGGTGGTTTCGGGTTGGTGATTCGTGTTGGAAAGAAATCGTGTGCGAAAATCGAGGGAAGAAGGTGAACATAGCTCGTGGACACGATATCCTCTATCGTGAAAGCAAAGGTCACGAGAAGCGACGGCACCGGTGACTTTGACACGTCCCGCGGGAAGACCTCGCATTAGGTCTCGTTTTACGAGCCAATGCTCAAAGCTTTGCAACGGCTTAGCCCGTGGTAACCACAAACGCGTTGTGTGTACACGTGATCTCGAGAATTCTATGCGCGAATAGCCGTTGGCATGTACGAATCGACGAAGCTTAACCACCATCTCGATGCAATCGCCTCGAAAACCATTTCAAAGATTCGCAGAGAAGGACAACGCCTATTGTTTACTTGGCGAGATTCGTCTCCATCGAATCGTTCGAGGATAGCAATTAAACTTTGTTTGTTACACATCGACACATCGTTGATCCTTGTGTACGTGATTCGTGACGAACAATAATACGACCATATCGGTGTTTACATTCTCTCGTTGCTTTTGCGTTATATACGTCGTAGATGTTTTAATTTTTGCGCATTTGGAAAATTTCGTAACGTGTGTATCAAAGGATACGTGCCACCGGTTTTTCCATTGGGAGAATAACTTACGACCGGCCGTAAGAAACTTGGAATGAAAGTTGGTGGAAATTTAAGTGACGTCCGTGATCGAAGACCTCTCGAGAGGAGAGTCGCGTGTGATTCATTTATATCAATATTAGAGCACGTAGAACGATTACAGTCATTGTTCCTCGCGTCATTTTCTTCCTTTTTTCGTGGTTTATTGTTCCGAAGAATTGACTCGCGCTTCGATATCGAACACGGCATATCGTTCAAAGAAATACTCGAAAAACGATTATTCGAAATACCGATATATAACGCGGATCAGTGGATTCCCGATAACGGTTCGAATCGTGACGTTCATCCGTGACATTTGCCGTCGGGATTCCACGTTTCTCGTCCGATCAGTTTCGTAAACGATGACTCGCGCCGACACGATCCTTTTTCATCCGTTCGCGGAAAAATCGTCCTCCCTCTTGTTAATCCGTTCTCTCGCGAGAGAAACGCGCGTTTCATCGTTCGAGATCGAATTTTTTGTTCTCCTTTCGAAGGTCACGACGCTCGCGGCTCTTCTTTTTTTCTTTTTTTTCTGTTCGTCAGTCCGCCACCCGAACAACTTCGCACTCGCGTATCGGAATATTGGAAAATCTCGTACGGCCGAAATTTCCTCGGTTATGATGCATAAATAAACGTACGTTTCGCGCGGTATCGGTGTGTTTTCCTGAAGATTTTTCCTGGTTGATCCGGTCAATTAAGTCCGGTCGTGTTTGCGCTCGTTTACACGAACGCTGGTCGTCACGACGAGCTAATTAAACTTACAAGCCGGCCGTTTTTGTCCAATGATTCACAGCGTCTTGTCCACCTCCTTGCCGATCTCCTCCCTTCTCTCTCTTTCTCATTTCTCTTTCTCTCCCTCCCTCCTTACTCGTTCGCCTTAATCTTTCACGTTCTCGGTCCTGAAATTGCGTTTCTACGCATGTTTCGGTGAAGGGACGCGCAAACGTGATCGTGCATCCCAAAACGTGACGTGTCTGGCCGCGGCTACCTTCGTGAATTATGTAACGGAAAGTGAAAATTATTCGCCGTGGCGGTTTTTTTTTAGCAAGCAGACACGGTTGCCGGGGCCGATTTTCCACGCGTATCTTGGCGCTCGCGTGTCTCCCTTGTGCCCGCCGATTTAAAACCGACCGTCACCGACAGTGGCTTACCGCTTAATTTATACCCCGATTCATTCTCGATCCCGCTTTTTACACCTCCGCGCAGAATTCTTACGAAACATGCGGAGGACATCCCGATGAAAAAGTTGAGAAACGGGTGCAGGTGGCGAGGATATATACTCGAGGAAACAGGAAATACCTGAAACGTTTCGGGTGATCGTATTTCTCGAAAGGAGGGGACGAGTGGTGGCCGCCTTCGCCTTCGCCTTCGCCTTCGCCTCAGTTATCATAATCTCGCCGTATTTACTTTGCCACGAGTGGAAACGGGGTTGGTTTTTAATATCGCTTCTCTATTGCGACTCCCGTGATCGGTTGCTTACCTTTCGTTTCCTCGCCTTTCATTTTCCTTTCGAAAAAATCCGGAATAATTATGGATTTTCAATTCCGAATGTTATATATATATCCAGATATACCGGAAAGTTTCTGGTTCGTAAACAAGGATTACGAGGATTTTCGATACGAAGTTTCGCGAGTGAGGAAAAATACCGATTTACAGATTGGAGAATAAAATTCGAGCAGAGGCAGGAAAGGCGAAAGGTGTCTATCAAATGTTGCGTATCGTATGATCGATCGCAGGATATTTTCGAAGTGTCCGTCAAAATATATATTTCCTTTTTTTTACACGATTCACGTATTCTTTCTTCGTGACACGCGTCATAAAGAAACGTGTTATTTTATCAAACAATTTCCAACTCGTGGTTACGTTGCGTTAGCGACAGATGTACGAAAATAAAATCCACGTTACGCCATCAGATTCATTGATCAATTGCGATGATTAATCGCGCACGTACAATTTTCGTCCCTTGCTGTCCCGTTACGGAAATCTCGCGAGAAGGATGATTTTAAATCGAGACACGATGCGCGCCCGTGGACACCCGATGTTTCGCTCCCGATTATTCCCCTTAATGCTTAATCCTCGAAACCGTAGATCGAATCGACCGTTACAATATCCGCGATTTTCGTGTTCGTCGCGAAATAACACGTTTCCTTCGTTGAAACGTTGGGTGGGACGTAACGCGGTATTTTTCGCGGATCGACTCGGAGAAATGGCTCGCGAGTTTTCCCCCCTCGTGTGTTGCACACGCGTAGGAAGAGGAGAGGACGGCGATAGGGAATCGACGTGGCGCGCACGATCACGATGTTTAAATCGCGACCGTTCGTCGCGTATTCGTAAGCGTACAACGGTGCCGATAAACTTAGTAATGGGAGAAAAATTGCCGCGATTAAGGTTGAAAACACATCCAGCAACCGCCATTTTCTCGCAACACCTGCGAATTACGCGTAATTGCCGTTCCTTCGTCCCGTTCCTTCCATCTCTCTACCGGCGATCCGTCCCTGGGAACCCGAGGGCAGTTCATTGTCTAACGCCGCGCACGCCGTGTCGCGAGAGGAGAGACGAGATGAGAAAGGGGGAAAAGAGAGAGAGAGAGAGAGAGAGCGTAGAGGGATAATCGTCATGTCGAATCGGAAATTAACGTTAAATCGTGGCCCCTCCACGGTTTCGTTCCTCCTTCGAGAACACGGATGGCCTCGGATCCGTGCGGAGCCGCGAAGAAAAACACGCTCGCCCCGGAACATCCGTTCACCCAGCGCTCGGATCATCCGTGTCGAATCGCGCAACTGTTAAAATTTCCGCGGGATTATAGACGAGCATTGTCGACGGCCAGCTCGATCCGTTGGATGTATCACGGGATTTTATCCCCGACGATTCGACACGGGAAATCGTCTCGAAGTATCACAATCGTACCTGCAATAGTTATTACAATATCGCTTCTTTCCATCGAGATCTCGAGATCGTTCGAAATCGTGCTTAGAACTATGACGTAATCATCCTAAGAGAAAGAAGAAGAAGAATCGTTTTCTCTCTATCGATTTAATTTTTCGAGGAGTTCGAGGAAGAAACGAAATTGCTTTTTTCCTCCGCTTTGTAGAAATTTCTCAGGGATTTCACGGGGCGCCTAAGGATTGTATCAACATCGTGTGGTGTTATCGGTGTTCCCGACGCGAGAACGCGCTTGTACTCGCGGGCGGTGGTGTTTCGATAGGCGTGAAGCGGAGTCTGGTGTATATATATATATATATGTACGTAACGGTGCTCGAGCCGTTGGCGGTTTCGCGATATCGATTGTTTTCACGGCCTCGTGCCGTGCTTCGGCATAGTTGGCGAGCACGAGTGCGGAAAATGCGTTAACATTATCCTACTCGGGCATGCATGCTTGTAAGTGGTAGGTTCGAGTATTGCAATTCTCAACTTTCTTCCCCCCCTTCCCCTTCCCCTTCCACCTTATTAAGGTGGATTCGGGGATGTGCACGCGCACAATTTTTCGTGGAAAAGATATGTCCATGTCCACGAAAAATATCCACGAAACGTTTTATACGTGTTTCGATGTTTTTTTTTTTTTTTCGCAATCCGCAAAAGAAGATATCGGAAATTTCGGGATTCGTTTCTGGAATTCGATCTGGAATCGAATCGGTTCGGAATAATCGAACGAGGAAGGGGCGTTCGATTCAATTGTTGCGGAGTTGTAGGGTGTACGTTGCTTTTACGCACGTGCACGCATACGGTCACGCGGACGCGTCACACGCAGCTTGTACAAGAGTGGCCTCTTATCGGGTGGAAGAACGCGCGTAGCCGCGTATGTAGGAGGCGTGTTTGCGAAGTTATGGTGTCCACGAGCTTTTATGGGCTGGCTCGCGCGCGTACGGTATACCTGTGTGCGCAACATCCTCCTCAACCTCGCTCACCACTTTGTGTGCCCCGTGTAAAACGCACACAACTCCTCGAGCATGCTACTTCGCGAGCGCTCCAACGGACTCGCTCGATCGGAGTTGGAAGCAGCAAATAACTACACGTGTCCAATTAGACAAGCGAAATCGTTTCTCGATACCTCGATATTCCCGAAGAACGATCTCGAGATTTCGTTCTATAATTAGATAGCGCGAACGGCCGTGCGATGTTCTCATTTCGTGTCTCCTTTTCCGATTCGTGGGAAATGCACGTCGAAGAGAAACGTAATCGTACGTTCTCGGATTGTCGTAGATTGTCCGATGGAATCGATGGAAGGAATTCTGAACCCGTTGTAAT